AAGACGATGGAATTGCGTTCTATGGATTTTATGTTTTTTCCAAGGATCCAGTTCTATGCAGCTTTTTTAGATTTCTGGGTTTTGGATAATTTTGAAAGGATTTTCCTAGCACTTTAAACCCTGCGTTGAACTTTTCCGCTCGACAGAATATTTACAGAACAGTTATCTGTTAGTTCAGGAAATTATTGTATATTGACTTCTGCTCTGGACCAACCCTTCGTTGCAGATCACCAGTTGTATATTGTTTTTTAAAATTTGCCCATAATAAATTATTGCTTGGAAGTTCCTTCGGACGTTTTTTTTCTCATTTCGTCATTATTCGCACTGTTACGGGTGATATTATAGTACAGTATATCTGTCTGATTTCCCCAAGCAGTCTTTTTTTTTGTGCTCAAGCGGAAGTATTTTATAGTACTCTCGGGCTCAGATCATTTTATATCTAAGTGTGAACAATTTCTGTCCTACGCGTTTTCTTAAATTTCCATTTTCCAGTCGCCGATTTTTTCTGCCATGAAGCAAAAAATATCGATATATTCTCGGGTATCACGTATAACTCCTTCAACCCACGCGGGATTTCAGAGCTGATGATCCTTATTTTACGAATTTCAGCGTCTTGACATAACCAAGTTTTTGAAAACGATGGCCCGAGAAGAACCCTAAATCATCAATGGTTTGAAAGTGTGGCACGAAGGTAGAAACGACACGTTTCGAGATTAGGAAAATTCGTAAAATGTGCATTTTGGGAATTCTGTGTTGCGTCTGAATGTATTATAATTCGGCGAAGAATGTGTCGAATGTAGGAAGAACACTTTCCAATATTTTTCTCACAGATATATTGAGATATTTCCAATGATGCTGATTGTTTCATTTGCAATTTTGCAACCTGTTCCGAATCTTTGTGGCTAGGCCATGTTTGAGGTCACCTCGAAAAATGTCATTTTTGGTTTATCTCTTTCTGCTTTTTCTTTCAATGTTCGCCTGCTGTCTGTGGTTGGTGGACCGTAACAGTGACCTTTTCGAATAGAACGCGACGACTATAATATGCTTGTGTGTGTGGACCGTTCTTCTCGAATGCTCACGCGCGGGGGATGAGGAAGAAGAACCACGGGATCCGAGTTAAACGTTGAGGCGTTTGTGAACGTGGCACGTTTTCGGCTGCTTGTGGCTGTTGCTCGGCTCATTTTCGTCGTTATTGTGCCCTCGGAAAGCCGCCTGTTTGTAGTTGAGAGGAGATTTAAATCTCGTTTCAATTAAATGTTGCGAAAACTCTTGTTTTTCTCAAGTTTTGATGCGACTCTGGGCTCGTTCGAGAATGCGTTGATGTTGTTGTAGCCTTCGCGATTTTCAACGAAGGAAAGTTTGCCAAGGCATGTCTGTACAGTAATACATTTTTTTTTTCCTTTTTCATGGAAGAAGGCATGCCCGTTTTTTTTTTTTTTTTTTGTGCAATTTCAGATGTTTAGTTTGCATAGTTGGTAACATAAAGCATATCTGTAAGAGTGTTTTTGCAGGATTTCGTGGTTATGCGATTAAATTCTTTCAAATCGAGTGTTACGAAAATTCTCCTTTTTGCTACAAATGGTTTCAGAGCTCGTTCAATAATGTGTCGATTTTGTTGCAGTCCGCGATTTTCAACAGAGAAGATTTTTGAGAATAATGCGACGTTTTGCCTGAAGGAAAGCATGCGTTTTTTCGTGTAATCTCAGATTTTATTTCGCGAAGTTCATCACCTACAACCAGAGCTCTGAATTGTTTTAACCGGAGTTGATTTTTGCAGCGTTCTCGTGCTCGTGATGTATCTTGATTTTTTTTTCTGCTGAAAATGGTGGGCTACTAGTTCGTATTTAGGATTGATTAGATATTCGAATGATGGGTCTTCACTCACATCCGAAATCATTAAAAGTTTCGTAATCAGGTTCATGATCTTCCTGCTGCTGGATGATAGTACCGTATTAAACTGTATCTTGCGAAATTATTCCAGATCGGTAATTTTCCTTGGCATCTGTATGTGAGGCATTTAGATTGATAACAAGACGTTTAATCTTCGTTAAATAGTGACATCTTCTTCAAAAATCAAATCAATTTTAAGTTTTCAAATGTTTTCGGGCTAAAAATGATGCACTGTATTATAACTTTAGATCCACAGTGGAAACATGGTTCATGGAATTTTGCGCCTCTTGAAAATTTCAGGCAATTATTAGGGGATGTACAACCGTGTTTGGTTTTTAGGCAATATTCGAAAAATACTTGAAAGGAGCTCAATTCCTCTTTTATCGACGTTGCTTTAAGCTTTTGATTTTTGTAAATCAGGTAAAATTTCTTTACAGTCCCAGGATTCAATTTGACAGCCGAATTCGTGAGTATTTTTTCTTGCCTCAGATATCCATGAAGCAATTCTTTTCCTTCAACTTGAAAATTGCTGTACGCATTTCAGAAAATTGTCATCAGATAAATCTTGGGGGAAAAGAAAGCGTGTAGGCTTTGAGCTACGATTCATGCATGCATGTTCAGCTTTCTCGAGTTGTTCGAATTTCAAGATCTGATTCCGTGCCAACGTTTTTTCATTTTTTAAACTTTTTTTGTCAGTTTTCGGGAAGCGAACAGCGAGTGGTTCCAGTTCGAGGAACAGGCTCTGGGTGATGTAATTGGAATTGCGCGGGAGATTTTCGGGGCCGGGCGGGGATGAAACAGGTACAGTAGCTTGGTTCAGTTACTTAGTCATGATCCGGAGAGGAGGTGGGTGTGGATCATCGACCTTTGGGTTCACTTCCTCTCGTCGTTCATATCGAGTAGAAGGCCTGGAAACGAATTTTAAAAAATTTTAAATTTATTTTGTCGGGTGCATCTTTTGTGTTGTGTTCTTTCCCTGAACGTTTTGAAAAGTGGCAAAATAATTTTAATCGTGTTTTGTCTTCGTAGCTTGTGACGGCGTAAAATTGACGAAGGCGTTTTTGCTCGCTTCTATTTGTTATCTTTGATGACGCAAAAATGTATTTATCTTCGGGAATGAATTTCACTTTTCAGTTGAAATCTGAGTGAAAATTGGAAAGAACATTTTCTAGGAAGCTGTTTTGAATGAATACTGTTGTATGAGCTGTCCAAAGTATGATCGAATACGATTTCGAAAGGTCAATTTGTGTGATTAACTTTGAATTTATTTTATGATATCAAGAAGAATATTTATGCTACCGGAATAAATAAAAAAGGACCGTAACAAAACGAAGAAACATTCACAGTTGAGACAAGCGTTGAAATCCACTCGGTAATCTCCGGAAATTCGTGCCGGGGAACCTTGTGTCCGGAACTTGTGTAAATTGAATTAGTTCCGCTAAAGTTCTGCGCTGCTTCGGAAGTGTGGTAATCTAGTTGCGGTGTAGTTCCTGCAAATTTCAGACAGGATGAGGACTTTCGCTCCGGTTCTGCAGCGTTGGCGTTCTGGTGGAATAAGTAAATAACAATTTAAAGCACCAAGTTTCCTGCGGGATGACGGATTATTGTTGAAGTTTATTGCAGCAGTTCGAATTATTTTATGTTTATCCCGCAGCAGTTCGCTTTTGAAGTTCAAGTTTTTCATTTTTTGACGTGATGCGAGCAAAAACGCTTTGCCTTCTAAAAGGTGCGGAATATTTCTTGGATTTTCGCTGAATTCCCGGGAAAAGTAGTGACTCAGTCTGATGCTTTTCGTCTCGAAGCAGAGAAAAAGTTTTCCCTCATACAGTCAGGATTACGTGTACTGTGAACATACGTGCGTTTATTTTAATTCCTTGCTGATATTTTCATCAAAGAAATGCCAGTGATGTGGATCTAGATTGAGTAAATTTACTTTTGCGTCATAGTGACCTGATGTAGAGTCAATGATTAGTGTTGTTTGGATTTATTCTTCGGTAAGAAAAAAACGCGGGAGTGATGAAAAAAGCTGATGATTCAATATGCCTTAGATTCAGCGAGTGTGAATTGAGGAAGTCGATCAAATGTGAAGAAAAAATATGAAACGATACGTGTTTGTTAGCTAAAATCCGTGTGAATAAACTCGAGATAAAGCTTTCATTTGATTTCCGGTGAATTCTTGCGCTTGCGCTGTGTGAAAAATAAAAAAATGATTTATTTACTCTTTCAAAGTAAACTAGACAATGTCAAGATTGCAAACATGTTTTTAATCTTCGCCGAAATGCGTGGAAATCTGTTGGACATTTCTGGCTGAACTTCGTATCCGTGACTAACATGAGCATTTCAGATTTACTTGATCCGTTGGAAGTTTTTCCGGGATCCAGTATTCTATGGTTTTCAAATGCAACGAATGTTGGGAGAAATAATTGATTAGTAGGGACTTCTATTCATTAAACTTGCTTTCCGAGATCTTTTGTCAGTTTTTTTTTTTCTCTTTCCCGCTTTTTTGAAGCTGCAAAACGTCGAGGGTAGTCTCGTTAGCTGAACAACAACTTGCAGTCCACCTTTTTTTACGAGGAGTTTTTTTGTCATGAATAATTTTTTCCTTCTCGTGATCGGCAGTTGATTTAAAACGTCTTTTCTTTTTTACTCTTGCTGACTTGGTTTCTTGTTTCTCTAAAATTCAAGTGATTTTTACCACTGAACATCGTTTTTTATACGGCCGGAATTCTCCTTCAGCCTTTCCGGAAGCGCTTGAATTCCCGGTTGAGATTTTTCCGAGTTTCGATAAATATTTTTCTTATACAGTATTGTACAATGCGGTACAGCGTTCTTGTTGCATCAAGAGAATTCTGAACTACTGTATTTTTCATCTGTTGTGGGGATTTTTTTTATTTACAAGTGTACAGTAGTCCGTTGAAAATTTTCTTCGTCACGCATTTCGACCTGGACGGAAAATCCGTACTGAATTTATCCATGCAAATCGTACATAATCGAGAAAAAGAAATTCTTGCATGTTCACCTCAGTGGCGGGCTTGTTCTTTATCCCCTTGCCTCTGAACGAATTTGTTGAAATAGCTTTCAAGCTCGTGTCAACGGAGGTGCTAAGAAAATATTTTCAGTCGTCAGGATATATATATATATATACAGTATATAAAATCATAAGCGTATAGTGTTGCAATAAACAGCGGCGACGTTGTTACAAAACGCGGAAATCGCGTCATGGCTCCGGGCTTGAAGGGGGGCGGCGGCGGCGGCGGTGGCGGCTGTCGTGTCGTGACCAGAGCCGGTGACGTGTTCTTCGGACCGTCGTTTGCAGCCGACGAATTCAACGAATGCGGTACAAGCATTTATTTTTATTCTTCTTCCTTCTGTACACCTTGTATTTTGTGTAATTGCTTCGTGATGTCTGACTTGATTGTCTCAAGAGCTTGAAGCTCTATGCCGGTTGCATTGATTGCTCCGATGATTTCGAGGTTGGGTGGCGTCATTCCGAATCATCCAATGATAAAGGGGAAACTAGCGAGTGAACCACTGGGGAACTTCGGTGAAGATGGAACGATGGGAACGCCCTTGTTTTAATTTATCATGCGTAACATTTTCGTGTAATTTTTTCTTTAGAATTGGTCTTGTCAACTTCGAATGTGTGAAAGTTGCGTATTTATGGGACGATGAACACGGCGAATAAATTCAGCTCGGGAGTGTAATCGGAAGTTGAAGAAAGTTAGATTCCAAGATTTGTTTTTTGGTATGCATCAAAATGGCAAAGGAACTGAGATCGGGTCACGATTGAACAGGGGGAAAAATAATTTTTTCGTCAGAATAAATTCCATCATTTGTATAAGATTTGTATAACGATCAATCGAACATCGACGTGTGGAAATGATGATACTATCTCAACCAGAAGCGTTTATTTGACATCTTAATACTTTTTATGAACAACTATGTTCAGGAGTCCCTCGAATGGATTAGGCGGAATTGATTTATTTACTCTTTCAAAGTAAACTAGACAATGTCAAGATTACAAACATGTTTTTAATCTATGCAGAAATGCGTGGAAATCTGTTGGGACATTTCTGGCTGAACTTCGTATCCGTGACTAACATGAGCATTTCAGATTTACTTGATCCGTTGAAAGTTTTTCCGGGATGCAGTATTCTATGGTTTTCAAATTCAACGAATGTTGGGAGAAATAATTTAGGGACTTCCATTCTTTGAACGGGCTTTCCGAGATCTTTTGTCAAAGTTTTTTCTCTTTTCCGCTTTTTTGAAACTGCAAAACTTCGAAGGTAGTCTCGTTAGCTGAACAACAACTTGCCGTCCACCTTTTTTACGCTGCATAATACTGAATGAGAATATTGGCTGCTTTTAAATTTTGATATCAAAAGTGGACTAAAGTTCCACTTGAAACTCTGGTTTTGGGTTATTTTCAATTACATCGAAAGCAGAATATGTAGAGATGATTATTCAACGAATATCTTCGGAAAATCGGAATTCTATCCGGCTCGTTCATAAAATGCTGAGTTGCTGACCTACAGTTACTGAACTCAGTTTAAATGAGGAAAACGTTTTTGGAAAGACTCCTTTGCATGATTTCAAATATGGACGGAAAGGAATTTAGTATTTGTCAAGACAGAGAATCGTCTGTTATCAAGATTGAACTGATCCCAACGTATGTGTCTATAAATTGCAACAAATCAAGTCAACCGAACACGGCAAGAAAATTGCAGTATATGTAAAGGCTCGGAAAGATTTCCGAAACATATGCTCATCAATACGCTAACTGTTGTAGTTCTTTCGATGTAAATTGTAAGATCATTACTGAATAATGGCGCACATGTAAAATTTTCGTGAACATGTGAACGTTGAAACATACCGTACTTCACGCTCAAGTGAAAAAGAAAAAATCGTTCGGCTTCTTCAACGCCTCTGACATGGGAAAGGAATGGTTTTTTTTCCTATTTGATGGATAGCTATAAAATTTGAAAAAAGGACGATTTATCCTTGTTTTGTTGTACTAGATGTCAGAGAATCGGGTTCTTGGATCGTCAAAGATCTACAAAAAGCGTTTTCCTCATCTAATCTTTTGAGTGAAGAGAAACGATATTCTTTTGTTTTCTCTGGCGCCACCGATTCCGTTTCTCGTGTATCGCTTTTGTGGCGTAAATGCGAAGATTTCGACCTTCCTGGTCTTGATAACAGAGAGAATCTAAATGTGTCTTTGCCGTTGAATGATTTCTGTTGCGGAGATGCGAAAGCGGCTGTTCTTGCGACATTGAACGCTGTTGTTTGCTTAGAACGCGATAGAAATTCCTTTGGGAAGTTAGATAACTATGCATTCATCCAGATTTAATATCTCCGGGAACGTCGGTGAAATGAGAAATCGTTGAAATGGAAGTTGCTCTTAAATTTCAACTGTTGGAAATCTGCCATTGAATGACATTTCGATGTTTTCACTGAAGGAAACCTGACATCACTTCATGCTGAATCAAATGCAGTGGTTGAAAGCCGTTGGTGCGTTCTGAAATTAAATTTTTTAATTTCCGTAGAAGGACCTCTCGTCGTAAATTAGTCTTCAAATTCGAATTACGCAACATTCTGACATACGAGGGTTCTAACAAAAGTTCTCGGAGTAGCAAAGAAAATGGCTTACAATTGAGATGAAAAAAATGTATTCTTTAGGGAAAACATATTCTTTGGCACACAAAAAAATATCAGCCCAGTTTGACAATTTTTTTTTTTCATAATTAACCCTGGCAGAGTTTTGCTCTTCACTCAAAAAATGAGGCGCCCTTTTTTTGTTGTAGCCCTGCTTTCCCCTCAGAATGCATTCTTTCTAAGGGTTGCCTCCAGGTCATCCAAGGCAATTCCGCCATTAGAAAGACCTTAGAAAGAATGCAAATATGATTTCAAAAACTCTTAGGGAAAAACTGTATCTCAACGCTTCCTGTCAAAAATGTTGTCGATTTTGTGAAGCAAGTTCGACGCATGTGATTTTTTTATTTCACAATTTGAATGCTCTCCAAAATCTCGGGTTTTGGTGAGGTAATGGATTTATGTGCGAGTACGGGACGCAAAACCGCTGAAATTTCGGTGAACTAAATCCTGTGGACAACAAAATGATTTTGCTTGCAGCCAGCAGTTTCACTGGAAAGAGGTTATCATACATCGGCTCCATGAGAAAATCCCGCGGGAAATTAAAAAATTTTCGTACCCTGTGGGATTTTTGTACCCCGCGAGATTTTTGGGCCGTGCGAGATTTTTCGAGCCGCGGGATTTTCTCGTGCACCCCAAACGCATCAACAACGTCGTTTGCTGTTTTTTTTTAATTAACCAAGGATTATTCTATGCTTTAGCGTGTTTTAAAATAAATGCTGTCCAAATGTCGTTTCAATATTGATCTTTCGCACTAGACCCAGCTAATTTTTGTGGTCGCCATTTATATTTCGCAGGGTTTTAAAATTTATCTTGTCAATTTCAAGTCGCTTGGGTTGCCTTCGATCGACATTTTGTCTCAGCCTTGTACATTCCTTGAAGTAATACGGTAATTTTGTTCCTAAAATGTTACACGCGCATTCCAAGTGTGTATCGTAATTATTTCCATTTTCTTCCGAACATAAGATATAAACGAGTCTCCGTCAAAATTTGTTTGATGACATAGTATAAATCGAATTACTGTATCTGCACAGAAAATACAGCGGGTGTCTTTTTCAAATCGAAGATCATGGATGTTTCAATAATTTTGAAAATGGGGTGGGATTTATCGAACAGTAAAATATCGTCTGATTGGCTGAACTTGGCATCACTGAGATTCCCACAAATGTTGAAGTGCGTTTACTCTGATGATTAGTCCATCAGAGAATGATAAACCCGCCCAGAATAATACAGTAGTTATTCAGACTATTATTTTCCTGTCAAGTAATCCGTATTGTCGCGGTTGATTAGATTGCTTAGTACAGTGGTTAATCTGTCCTGGATACTTGTAATTTTACTGGATATTCATACTGGCCATATTTTCGAGGGAAGTCGATGACCTCGTATTACATTTACTTCGATGTAGGCCGCGCCTTGTTCGCTGCAAGTTGGCTGGAGACCTGCAGTGCGGCCTATAATAGGCTTTTCCCATTTGGTTGCGACCTCTGATATTTTTTGAGTAGATTTCATTTAAAAAGGAAATCGTCAGTCATGCCCATGATGTTAAAAGGCCTGGGATCTTTTTTTTCGGATTTTCAAAGCAGTTTTCCAATTTACTGCATGCTGTAAGTGAGAACCTTCTAGTTACAGCCAGAGTACTCCCTTCGTGTTACAAAGCGTTAAATTTGTTAGGCTTGTTGAAAACTTGAATTTTTGTTTCGTTCTACCTCGTATCTTTTTTTAAATTTTAGATGATGGTTAGAATAACAAAAGATCGTGTTTTTAGTCGGCTTGACAAATTTGTAGCACCCTGTAACGTGGGTGAAGAACTCTGGCTGCAATTGGAAAACTTCAAGTTCTAACTTGGCATCATGCAGTAAATTTTCAAACTTTTTTTTCAATCTTGCAAAGATTCCATATCATGACATGACATTAAGTCATGATTTTTGTTTTTAAAATCGCACCTACAGTATTTCAAAAATATCAGAGGTCGCGTCCGACTGGGACAACCCTCGTATTTGAGGTGTCCAAACCTGGTCCAACTATAATAAATTTCAAACTCGGAAAAATGTTTGAACTGAATGCGATTGCAGTCTGCATTCGCTGGGATTTTTAGAATTTCCGGAAGTGTTGGAATCACTTTGTTCAGTTTTCTTGATGCGTTATTTATTTTTGCAAATTGCAGAATCGCAACATCATGGACGAGAAGAGGTTCGAGGTAGGGATGACCGCCAGGGCCCATCGTCGACTTATGTGCGTGACGTTCGGGACTCTGGGTCGAATGACGAGACGAGTTCGACGTCGAGCGAGAAGTACGAACGTGACGTGGCGGTGCTGAACCACTGCTTCGACGACATTGAGCGGTTCATTGCGAGACTGCAATACACGGCGGCGGCACAAAAGGAGTTGGAGCGTCGGCGCAAGTAAGTTATGAATTCCCGGTAGTCCCCTAACAAGAACAAAAAGGCCTGCGACAAAAAGGGAGATGCTGACGTAATTGGTGCATCAAGAGTGTTCCTTAGTCGAAATGCCCCTAAGTTGAGTCTTATTTTCCCATAGACTTACATTACATAATTTTAATTGGTGTTTTATGGAAGAAATATTCTTCAGATTTCCATGAAAAAAAATGTCTGCCACTTGAATTTGATTCAGTTAATATTTTTTCAACTTGATAATAGATAAAACCATTTGGAGCATAGGAAGTACCTCTATGCTGTAGGGAATTTTTTTAATTAGCTGAATAGATGGGAAAACGATGGGAGAAATACCGAAGAATTTTTCTTGCATAGATATGAGGGTTGGAAATATCTCTTTCTTGCAATTAAGCCTAATAAAAGTCAATTTTCCTGTAATGTATTGGCAATTTTATCATGCAATGTCCGCATGTCAAGTCAGTGTCCATATGTTGAGCCTATTTTGTGCCTTTTTTATTAAAAAATAAATGTCCCTACGTCAAAATGTCCTCATGTCGAGGTGTCCGCATGTGGGGGTTTCACTGTATCCTGTCGGTCCGCTTGGAATACATTCATGGAGTTCAGTCATGTGTGTCTGAAATGTCGGCAATGAATTAAATGGCGATGGTTTAAAATTGAAGTCCTTTATCTTACATAAAGAAAAAATTAACTTCAATCACATCATTCCCTCATGTGTTCGTAGCGTTTAGTTCGTAAAAATTCATTCCAGTGAAAATGTTGCCTTTATGTTCTTGATCTTCCCTTTTGAGTGCTGTATTTTCAAACCACGAATAAGTTTGTGCAAGTATTCCCGAGCCCCGAAGAGTAAATGCATAAATTTTCATCGATTTCCTATGATTTTCGATGAAAACGTTTTTCTGAAGTTTCAAAAACTTTCGGAACATGAGAAACGATGCGACTTTTCTCAACAAGAAAACATATGCCAATGTGCCGTTTGAAAATTTTCCTTGGAATAGATTTCTCGGGAGAAATCGTTTGAATAATTGATATCGAGCTAAAAATGTTGGAAATGAAGTCATCGATTGTATCATGCAATAAANAAACGATGGGAGAAATACCGAAGAATTTTTCTTGCATAGATATGAGGGTTGGAAATATCTCTTTCTTGCAATTAAGCCTAATAAAAGTCAATTTTCCTGTAATGTATTGGCAATTTTATCATGCAATGTCCGCATGTCAAGTCAGTGTCCATATGTTGAGCCTATTTTGTGCCTTTTTTATTAAAAAATAAATGTCCCTACGTCAAAATGTCCTCATGTCGAGGTGTCCGCATGTGGGGGTTTCACTGTATCCTGTCGGTCCGCTTGGAATACATTCATGGAGTTCAGTCATGTGTGTCTGAAATGTCGGCAATGAATTAAATGGCGATGGTTTAAAATTGAAGTCCTTTATCTTACATAAAGAAAAAATTAACTTCAATCACATCATTCCCTCATGTGTTCGTAGCGTTTAGTTCGTAAAAATTCATTCCAGTGAAAATGTTGCCTTTATGTTCTTGATCTTCCCTTTTGAGTGCTGTATTTTCAAACCACGAATAAGTTTGTGCAAGTATTCCCGAGCCCCGAAGAGTAAATGCATAAATTTTCATCGATTTCCTATGATTTTCGATGAAAACGTTTTTCTGAAGTTTCAAAAACTTTCGGAACATGAGAAACGATGCGACTTTTCTCAACAAGAAAACATATGCCAATGTGCCGTTTGAAAATTTTCCTTGGAATAGATTTCTCGGGAGAAATCGTTTGAATAATTGATATCGAGCTAAAAATGTTGGAAATGAAGTCATCGATTGTATCATGCAATAAAATTATAAGTTACTCACAAAAGCTTGCATATATGGCTTCTTGTAATTAAATAATATTTCAGGTATGATGGAAATATGTTAACTGAAACTGCGTCAAGATCTGAATTTTTTTTGTGCACTTTTTCTCAGAAAATTACAGCAAAACCCCAGGATTCGACTCCTGTGACCTGGTGCGCTACATACAGTATTTTTCTTAGTTTCATCTGATGCCACTAAATTCAAGTACTTTTGACTTCTCGGGTTTTCAGAAGGTCCCGGATGAGATTTCGTAGTTTTTGAGGAGGCCTGAATTCCATGAGATAGCACGAATGCGAGTTGAGATTCACGATTTACTTTCGGTTTTGACAACCTTTGAACTCGATGTGGTTGAAGTTTCGCAATCGTCAGGAGTTTCGAATTTTCTTTTCCTCGTCAAGACATTTTGAAACCACGAGGCAGTGTGAAATATTGCAATCATTTCATCACTTTATGAGCTCTTCTTTCCTCTGCAATCCTGCAAAACGATATCCTTTGGATTTCTTCAGACGTACCTCTATTTTTATAGAATTTATACGCGCTCGTTGCGTACACATTCTCCTTTCCTGAAATTGCAGAAATACGTGTTCTAATGTTTTTGATATTTGTGCTGATGATTATTCATTATCATGTGCTTTCAAGGTCTCGGAAGTCGAAGAAGAAGGATTTGGGAGATGGAATGTTGTCCATGAGGGCCAGGCCGCCGCCGGAGCGTGAATTTATCGACATTTTCCAGAAGTTCAAACTCTCCTTCAATCTTCTGGTAAGTCGTTGAATTTATTCCAGATTGGAGAAAATCAATGGGAGATGCATTCTAAACAGTTTCGTCTATCGATGAACTTACTGTGAAGCTAAAAGTTCGTTGAAACGAATTATTGCTTCCAACAAATTTGTTTTCTAGGGATACAGCCTAATAGCCATAAAGGAGTTTTTGCTAATAACGAAGTATTTTTCAAGATGCCAGACGCTTCTTTGTAACGAGATTATATTTAACGCGAAAACTTCCATTTTGAGTTTATCTTTTTTTTAACCATGTATCTCACCCAAAGGCTGCCTCATATCTTCGAAAATGTGGGGCCCTTTACTTTCCTGTGAAGTCACTTGAAATGTTACTCTTAAATGTTCGTTATTTATCCATAATCAAACCCTGATTATGTTTCCTGTTTGTTCAAACGTATATTTTTATACATTCAGAAGAAAAGAAACGTGAGCGTCAAAGGCGGCTATAAAATTTGTGAACAATTTTAAAGCTTTGATGCACCTAATTTTTTATTCAAACGTGGTGTTTTTTTTATCAATTTCTAGACACAGTTTAGGAAATGCAATTGATAAACAAATTTTTATTCGATTCAACCATATTTAAAGTATTAAAATATGCTGATTTAATTTATTCTGAAAATATCGCACTTTTCTATTTCAAGAATGGGTTGCGCGTCTTCCTCGGGAATTCTGTACATTTCTATCCGAATTTTTGTCTGGAAAATTCGGATGCGCGCATTAATGCTAGAAAAAAAGGTAAATTGTTCAAAAGTGAAGAAGAAATAACCGAAAGAAATTTCTGTAATTCAAAGCTTCATCAAAAACGAAAATTCATGTTTTTCATCGGGACCTCGGGTCACGTAACTGCTTGGGCCATGGTTGAGCGGCAAGTTGGTTTATACGCGTAAAATACCCCGAAGAACTGAAAAATTACCCAACCATTCGTGCGTCTGTGTGAATGGGTTTCTGCGTTTCTGGCGCGATTTGTTCCGAGTTGTCGCTGTGGATTATGCTCATGCATTCCGTCGTCGGAGATTATGGAGTATGAGAGACGAGGGAGAAGAAATGATTCATTCGTGAGAAACCGTAATCACGGGGGGGGGGGGGGGGGGGAATAGTCG